TTATGTAAAGTACAGCATCGGAATCAATTTAAAATGGCTAAGTTAATTTGGATTGGCTCATCTGTTGTTTACACCTGGGTCAGCTGTGAATGATAGCTGTGAACCAGCATTGATTCAGATGCTGAACTTAACATGAGCCAAACAATATTTGTAAGTTTTTGTGATGTACTGTTAATGCAGTGCTCATGTGTGGATGAGGCTGCATGGGTAATGGCCGTCCTCCACATCCCCTTGCCGCCCGCGGAGGGTTTCATCCCATGATGGGTTTACGATCAAGAGAACTATTGCCTGTCACTCCCAATCAAACTCAACTTACTGTTCGAGGTAATTAAACAACAGCAGATTTTTTAGACCTCTCCTTTTTGTAACTAGCAACCTGTAACATGTTCAAGGGCTGACTTTCTAATCTCATGTCACCTACTCTGATTGTTTCATTTGACTTAAATGACAGTGTGATTAAAGGCTTACAGTACACTTTGAAAAACTACTATGACAAAAAAAAAAACAAAAACAAAAACCAAAAAAACATGAAGACTCTAGTAATATTGCAGCAAACGTCACCAACAAACGTTCAGTTTTGGTCTTCATTTGGCGAAGTTCAAATTATGTTTCAAAAATGTCTAAAAAAAAACAGACTCAGAAAAAAAATATGATCACACTGTTGCATTTAGGTCAATCTGTGCATGAATGTATAGGACTAGCTATGGATTCCATAACTTTGCTTTTCTTTATAATCAGTAGTACCCAAGACTGTGCTTTAGTTACCTTATTATAGGAAATTAACGCTCCATGAAATTAACACGAATCGTTAAAATTTGCGTTAATTTAAGTCGCGTTACTTTTGTTGAGCGTTAATTTCCGCGACGTTAGTTAAGTGCAGGGTTAATTTCCGCGCTCTTAATTTCCAGTCTTTTAACCCCAATTTTGGAACCTGTCCAGACATTCTTGACACCTAAAAAACATTAACTACAAGCTTTCTTTCTTTCCATTTAGCCTTTATTTTTCATCTTTCACAAAAGCTAAGGCGAAGGAGTTGCATCTTCATTGTTGTCGCTGTCAGAAGTGATGTCAGCTCAGTTTTGAATTTTTTTGCATCCAGTGTTGAAATAAATTTGTTCCAGTTGTCACCACCAACTGTGTCTTAATCGCGTTAATTTCCTTTATTTTGAAATTCTACCTCCTCCTTCGCGTTAATTTTCTTTATTCGAAAGTCGTTTTGCATTAAATTCGCATTAATTTAAGTCGCGTTAATTTCCAATACCTTAATTTCATGGAGCGTTAATTTCCTATAATAAGGTTTGCTTGGCAGCTCCTCCCAACTTACTTCTACCTTGGGTGACAGAGAAACCTTAGTTTTTGCATAACAATTATGTACCTGGTACCCTGGATTTCTTAGGTTCAAGGCTCTCAAGAATTTCCTTTAAGCACAGCCTTATAATGATCAACCCACAATTACAACACTGACTATTTTTTCCTGTTCTCATTATTATTTTGTTGATTTTTGTGCATCAAGTCCCTAATATATCTGCCCCACCTCCAACAGTTTCCACCATGCCTGACAGAGTAGTCATCCACCCAGATGCAACAAACAACACCCCTGTACCACCCCAAGAGCAACCACCGCAACAACAGCAGCAGTCCTCAGGTGTACCCCAGCCGGGTGTGGCACAAGCTCCCAGCTCCGTTAATCACACCGTCCCTGTCAAGAACAGACTTGGGTTTCCAAGGAAATTCAGTGATACATTAGAGTTGAAAAGGATTCCTCGTGACCTTAACAACATTGCCAAGTTGAATGAGCATTTTCAAAGATTTGGTTCTATCACAAATATTCAGGTAGAAGAATTGCGTGGAATTGTAAATAATTACTTTAAAGAGCTAACAACAGTGTTGTTGCATTAAAAGATGTTGTCTCACATTGCAAAATAGCATCTTTGTATTATTTTTAAGCTTGTGAACAAATCATTGTTTTTGTCAAAGCTACATACACAAGATATAGGTTACCCAATGTTCATGAAATCTTATAATAAAGTAGACTTTTTACAGTTCCCTATTTGTTTGTAAAATCATCATGATCAAGTGCTTACTGTACTGGTACAGGTGGCTCTTTCAAGTGGACTTCTTGGTTTCATATGTGCTGAGAGGGCGAGCATCAGGTTTCTCTCCCCTGCCCCCAAAGTAGATTTGACCCTCATCCTCAAGCTAGACTCAGGACGCTTGAGACCAAGATGGCCGCCTGTAACACAAAGTGCTTGATCTGACGGAAAAGTAGGTGACCGTGAACAATCAAATAACAGTCCTTTTGTTGAAAATAAAATGTATAAAATGATGATGTTTTATAGGTCTGTGCATTTGGAGATCCAGAAGCTGCGTTGGTACAGTTTCCCAGTTTTCACATCACAGTGAAGCTAAAGCAGCACACTCTTGTCCTGATGCTGTCCTTGGTAACCGGTTTATCCGAGTGTTCTGGCACAATCCTGACAGACTACAAAACAATAAGGTGGGTTAGTGTAAACTTGTCCCAAAATTTAGAAGGTTTATAGAACATTATTGTTATTTAAATTCCAAAAAATTTTATTGTGCGTTTTATTTTGTAGCCACTACAATGACTGTTGAAAATGACTGATGTCTTTTAAAACTGCTATCCATGTTTGAAAAGTAGTCACTTTGAATGATTATACCCTACCAATATTAATCTCATAATCAGTGCTATTGACTGAGCATATACTGAATTGATACAAGACTCTGAAGATGACTACCGCACAGGTTGCCGAAACATCAGTCACTGCCAACAACAGTCCTGTTCGGGACTATGTTCACCGAGATGATCATACTCAACCTACTTATGAAACGACTCCTGGGTTCAAACCTTTTACAGTGTTTTATATGTTGTAGATGGTTCCAAATGCATATCTTGTTGACAGTTTCTTCTGTTATGTGTGCTCTGCAGTTGTGAGTTTCATCCACACACATATCAAGATTCATGCACAGATGGTTAAGCAGTTAGGTTTCTGTCCTAAAACTTCAACTGTGCCAAATAATCCTGACCGGAAATAAAAATAGTGGTTTAAAATTTCTCAATACCTTACCTTGGTCATTACAGTGGAACCTCGATATATCGATCCTTGATATAGTGATGTTCCCCATATGACAATGAATATTCTATGTTCCAGCAAAATTTACAGTAAAATGTATGGGACAGAACCCGAATATAACGATCTTCGATATAATGATATTCCTGATATGACAATGAGATTTTAGCCGACTGAGTGGAAAATCTTTCCCGACATAATGGTATTATCACAATGTAACCAAAACATTGAATTTAATACAATAACATTAAAGAAATAGAGTAATCTCTAACGTCTCTGTCAACTTACTTGGTGTACTTGGGCTGTACATTATAACTCTGATAACAGAAACATTGAAACAAAAATGACTTAAGAAGGATTGTTGCAAGCTTGTCATGCACAATAATGCATTACTTCCTGGCCACTGTCTGTTTTTTTTTTAAGGAAAAACAATGAATTCGCAAACTCGATAAGCAGAGATGAGAAAAGTTGCAACTTCAAATGTTTAAGTTTAGTTTTGTTGCTCTCTTATGATTTAAACCACAGAACATACTGTGTAAACTTTAAAACTTATAGTGCTTTGCAAACTGTTTAAGGACATTGCTGGGCGCTTGAAATGTTACATTTGCGAATCATTTGATAATTATTACAAATAATATTTAGTGAAATAATGTATGCAGTAAAAAGGTACATAAGGTTAACTCTGACATAACAATATTTTCAGTTAGTTTACAGCCATATTGTTACATCAGGAGTTTCGATATCACGATATAATTTTACTACTCCCTTGGCATGTCGTTAAATTAGGGTTCCACTGTATGTTGACATTTTCTTTAGGATGGACATTCAAATCAAGGAGCCACAGTCAGTAGTGGTAACACAGAACCAGTCAAAACTGAATCAACCACAACAGAGGATGCCAACAAGGTAATAACAGCGTGCAAAGAAAGTCGTGTCCGATAGCTAGTGGATTTTGCCATCGGGCTAGTGATTTTTGTTCTTAACTTGCCTGATGGGCAAGTGCTGTTTTTTGGGAAAATTCATATTACAGGATTGTAATCAATCCTGCTAATCAAAAAGGGTTTTGGGGCTGGTTGAAATGACTTGTGGGCTAGTTCATGCTAGCTACAGCTTACCCGAATGGCAGGCTGTAAAACTGACTTTCTTTGCACCCTGAATACAGTCAACTCTCTCTTAATGGTCACCTCTATAAGATGGACACCTCCCTAAAACGGACACCTAGAGTTGGTCCCTGCCTTTCTTTACTCCCTTTATTTGACTCTCTGTAAGATGAACATCTCCCTAAGACGGACACTTACTGCCAGTCCCAAAGGTGTCCGTCTTAGAGGAAGTTGACTGTAATAGTTGTATTACATGTTAAACCCCTTCATGACAAACCTCAAAATGCACTGTTTAGTATATAGTTGAAACCCCACTGAGTGGTCACCCTTATGGTACAGGTAAGTAGTTTCTTAATGGAGGTTCATCATAAACTAACATAATGTGCAGCTGAAACATAAGACTGAAACATCTTTACTGGTCCATAACAAGTCGCCACCTTCTATCATGGGCTTCATTTTCCTTCATCAAGGCCAAAAGGTGTACACAGAGCGGCTTAATAGAGGTTTAATTTACTATGCTCTCCTAAAATTATTTCTGGACTATTATTTCTGATTTAACAGTTCGCTTAATAGAGGGTCGCCACTTAATAGTTGGCTGTATTGTATGGTTGGGGGTGGGGAGTCGGGGCATGAAAATCATTTGTATCAAGTAGGTTGATAAACTTATGTGGTCACTGCACCAGGATTTAAGTACCTGACATTTAGTGTGCTGGGTTTTCTTCAGAGATAAACACTAATGGTGATATTTGATGCTGATCTACCATAAATATTTTTATCGTAGGCTCCTACAGAACCCAAAGCCAAACCAACTATGTTTCAAAGTGGGAAGACAACATTCTCAAAGACATCAAAAGTTTCACCTGTCCTTGTACCAACTGGACCACCAATGAACAAGAGACAGCAAGAGCTTCAAAAGCAGGTAAGTACAGTATAATAATAACGATAACAATAACAATAACAATAAAGAGACCTTCTTGAATTTCAAAAGCAGTCATTTTACTTTTGTATTTGTGGTTTCCTCGTCGCTGTCGCAGATAATCAACCCATCTTCATGTTGTTTGTTGTCATTTTGTCTGTCTTATGTTGCCGCTTCAAGGCCATACATGTCGCTTGTGAGCATTGTACCCTAACAGGGCCACAATAATTTAATGTCAATAGTAATATTTCTGCAGGACCTGGTATCTATCGACAATGTTGCTATGGCAGCAGCTAAGTAGTTTAACCCTGTAAGTCTCAAGAGTGACCAACATCAATTCTCTCCTAACAATATTGATACATAATCAAGAGAAACAGTAATGAGAACCAATAAAATGATCACCACAGGGAAAATGCTTTGATCTTTTATCAAATTCTCTCCACTAGTCTCGAAGGAAATGTATGAAGATCAGTCTGGAGAGTTTGTTTCTGGATAGTGGAGCTTAAAGGGTTACAATCCTCAGGTCAGAGGGAGAAACAATGAATCATCACCAGGGATAAGTTCCACATGGATGAAAGTGTTTATCAACCTTTTTTGTATCATTTGTCTTATTTTTTTACAGGAGGCGATAAAAAAGAAACTGGAAATTCAGACACAGAAACAAGAACTACTCAATAAACAGATCAAAGAACAGAAGGTAAAAATTATGAATTTTATTGCAGCCGTCTGTCTCACCACTTATCCCCCTTCACGTTTGCTGGGTATTTCTGAGACTGCTTGCAGCCCACCTTGTCTCTCTTAGAACTGTCAAGTTCGTAGGGAGAAGAAACAAAAGACTTTTAACCGAAAAGGGAATAAGGCAAGACAAAAAAAGACAGATTGCTGACTCTTTTGGAGTAAACAAGCTCTCCATCAGCCCAGTGTGGGATTTTTTAAAATCCTATTACCTGACTTTACTTAAATTGAGGTCACCTAGACAAAATTGACCAGTCGCATTGAAAGTGAAAACATTTTATGTTGGAAAATTCATTTTTACTGTATGCTTAATACTTTGTTTCTGGTTTTCTTTGCCAGCTTTTAATCTCCAAACTTGAAAAGAAGAATCTTAGTGCTGCAGAGAAAGATATGATAGTGAAGGTAAAATATAAATTACCCTCTTACTAAACAGGGTTCATACAGGTCATGGAAGACCTGGAAAGTCTTGGAATTTAAATAATATTGTTGGTTCTGGAAAGTGATGGGAAGCTAAAGTTAATCTTGTTAGATTAGTTACTGCAGAATGTCAAAAGCAGGAGAATGTAAGACTTCTGCCAGAGTTAAGATCAATAATTTAAGCTATGCCCATTTTAAGAGACTTCTTAGGGATTATTATACCGCCGCCCTATGGACTTGCTATAATGTAGAGGACCCCAGAACACGGAAAACAATTTGCCTAAAATGTAGCTACGCTTACACTCTAACTAGCCGTGTCACCTGCTGCTTTTAGCCTTTTCCATCTAGCCTTTCTTTTTCCAATCCTAATGTTGCTTTTATTTTTTTTTTATGTATAATTATGTATGTTATTTTTTTATTATAATTGTTTTTCTTGGTGAACCTCAATAAATAAATAAATAAATAAATGAAACGAGTTGCTGAACTGAGTAAGGTCAAAAATATATTCCTAAAACAAGGGAAATCTTAAAAAATATGTAAAGCGAAAGCTAAGCCTAAGGTCATGGAAATCTTGAAAAAGTCATGGAAAAAGTCCTGGAAAGTTGTGGAATTTGAAGAGCTTAAAAGAGTACGTACCGTGTAATAAAGCATTTTGTATTTATTGCAAAGTCAGAGTATGGTGGTATATTTATGTTTCAATGTTTTTGCTTTTTATTCCAGACAGTAAAATCTCTAAGTTCAAACATTGAAGCACTGAAGAAGGAAGTTGAGTTAGCAGCTATGGCAGCAAAATCCAAAGAAAGTCCCTCACAGGCCAGACAGATTGTAAGTGCAAACTGTGTAATGATAAATGAATTATAATTAGTTGTGAAGTCAACATAATGACCTCTGCTTGCTGAAGCTGACCATTTGTTTGTGTGGATAAATAGATAAACCTTGTGCACACCTACAGAATGGAGCATCAAATGCCCATCCCCCTAAATCAAGGATGAAGCCAGGCAAGATACAAAACACGTCATTCTTGATTTTTGGGTAGGGGGGGTATAAATTTCCCATCTATTTTGTCCAAGATTGACAGGTACTATACCTTAAATTGATTGGCTTTGAATCGGCTGAAAAGTAAACTTTGTCACCTGAATAAGCATACAATATGCAATTTTTGCAGAAGGAAAGCCTGCAAAATATTGAGGCTTTGTGAATGGGACTCAAACCCATGACCTCTGTGACACCGGTGCAGTGCTCTAACGAAGTAAGCTAATTTGTGGACTGAGAGCTGGTCATAAAATCATATACCAGTATTAGAACTAACTGTTGTTATTTGACCTTGGTTTTTTTAGGCCCAGAAAGCAATTCTTGACCAGGAGCTTGACCTGATAACACATCAGAATACTGGGGAAGACACGACAGAACTGAAGAAAAAAGTTGAAGAACTAAAGCAAGAGGTAGTTACTTGAGATACATTCAATCTGTTTAGTGCATCATTTCTAGTATTTTGATAGATGTGAAATATTATGTGCAAATTCTTTATTGTAACATTTCTCACATCTGTATTAAATGAAATGATGAATATATGATTGAATTTCACAGCATTGGTTCAAATTGGTTCAATGTTAATTTTGTTGATCAGCAATGTTGCAGCTTTTGTTCATCAACTTTTAAACAATGTGTCATATATGGTACATGGTACATGTACGTTCAAATGGGCCATTAAACATGTTGAATGCTGATGAATGAGAATAGGAAATAAAGATGGACTTTGTTACAATGTTACAATGCTTGTAGTTGTTAATCAAAGAATGTTTTAATTTGTTAAACCCAGTGTCTTCGGCTTTTAGTAGTTCACAGCAGGAAAATATCTACAATACTTGTCAAAAATCGTGAAACACATTGTGCGTTTCGCCTTCTCCAATTCTGATTTGGGTATTACAGTCGTCTCAGTGACCCAAAATATGCGTGGCTCAACATTGGGGAAGGGGAGGGTCACATTTGGGTGAGAACAAAAGTGTGAAGAGTGAATAAGAAATTTTAGAGAAAATTCAAGAGAAGCGGTGTCTGTTTCATTGATTTGTGAGGAGTAATGTAATTACTGACCATACACTGTTTTTAGGCAAAATCTCTTGGCTTACTGGATCCACCCACAAAGGGACGAGGGAGAGGAGTTGTAAGAGGACGTGGCAGAGGAACACCAGTGAGAAGCAGACCACTTCCAAGAACAACACGGGTGTGGACAAGAGACAGTGCTTCATTAGACCATCGACCAAGGCGGATCAGTGTTGGAGAAATAACAACTGAACAGAGGGAAGATATTACAGAGCACTTTAAAGTAAGTGCTATGACGTTTTCTTTTTGCTACTTTTCAAAGCTGAAATGAATCTATGTTGCTCAGGAGTATAACCAATTGTCAATGGTGAAAGAACGGCACATCTCACTTTCCAATAGATGGCCTTTAATTTACATTCAGGACTTAATCCCTCAAGGTTGCTGACTATACAAGTAATAATGTCAAAAATGAAACACAGGTTTCATCCAATGCCATCTCAACAAAAATATCAATATCAAACACAAGATAGAGTGTTTCATGTTATATTCTGACACCTAGAAGTGGTTTGAAAAAAAAGTGCAGCCAAGTTTTGCAAGACCCACTTTGAGGATTCTGGATATTGGATGAAACACTGAGTGGAATTTAATACAAAGAATGTATAGCTTCTCTCACAAACAAGAAGTTTTGAAGAAATTCAATGCTTATAGTTCACGAAATTATATAGGAGTTGCCTCTGATATCCAAACCACTGTCAAAGTAGTGATTTCCTTGGTTTGTTATCGTGGATTACTCTTTGAGAATCGAACTCATCTGTGGCCTTTGATTTACATTTGAATTTGTTAGATTTGATGGCTTCTTGTCCTAATTCCTGTATGTATTGAGACTGAGAATTCATAAAGCTGCAGCCAATGAAAGTTTGATTTATTAGAGTAAGGAAAAATACACAGGAAAAAATAACCGATTCCCATTTTTGGATATTTTAGGGTATTTAAAGAATACCCATAAAAATCCCAAATTTGGCAAAGTGAGACAAGTCCAGACCATAGACTTCCCAACCAAGTTCCCTGATTGGGACTTGTCTCACTCTTCCAAATTTGGGATTTTTGTGGGTATTCTTTAAATACCCTAAAATATCCAAAAATGTGAATCTGTTATTTTTTCCTGTGATAGGGAATTTACACGAAGCTAAATGTAATTTAGGCTAAGTTAAACACGGAACCATGGTGGCCAGCAGTTTTTCCCGAGAGTTGGATGCAGGGTGACCAGGTTTAATGTTGTGATGCAGTTCAAGGGGCCAAGAAGAATGTTACAATGGAGCTTTTGGAGTCACTAAAAAGTTATGTTTGTACATTTGTTTTCTTCCTGTAGGAATTCGGTATTGTTGACAATGAAGAATATATTGATGATAAGGAAACTCTCAACTTGACTTTTAGGACAAGAAAAGAAGCCGAAATTGTAAGAATAATGGACATTCTCCGTTTGCTCAATGTGTATTTCTAATATCTATTTGTCTTATTTCCCACCCAATTCTTCCCTCCCTTCTTTGTATGGGTTTGCTTTTGATTTCTGGCTGATAGCAGTGCAGTGGGGTACATTGCATTGAGAAATGCATGTTTTTATTGTTTTTGTTGTTGAATTGTAGACTGTGAATAGTGTCCATTTTTCTCCAAACTCAGGGCTGTGCTGTAGCTAACCCTGGTGACCCCTGGTATCTAACTTTTGCACCTGGGCCACTAGAAAATCTTTAGTTTTTTCATACAAATCATATGCTGGCACCCCGGAGTTTACAGGTTTAGAGCACTGGGCTCCCTTCAATTTTCCTTAGAGCACTGCCTTGAAACTTAGTTGAGTGATAACGTGTGAGTGCAGGTGTGCAGCTACTCCCCTGTCTTAGCATTGAATCACACACAAGGCCATTTTTTATCTCCCCTATTTACTGGACAGATTAAGAAGACAATGATTTCTTGTGGTCTTGTTGAATTGGGAAATCCATGAAACGATTTGAAAGCGGGCCTTTTGCTATTGACTATACCCTACGATATAAAATTTAGTTTTGAAGATTTGCAGTTATTAATCGATATCGTTTTACACTGTCACTGGCTTTTCAATCAGAGCTTCATACATGAATTGTATCATTTTTAGGCCTTCAATAAAGGCAAGACATTCAAAGGCAGAGCCTTGAAGGTGTCTTGGTATCGACCTCCATTGACGCCTACATCACCTGCAACAGCAGTACCAACGACACCTACAACTCCTACAGTACTCAAAAAAGTAGAGGAAGAGTTAGGACTGGATATTGATGCTGAACTGGTGAGAACTCTATGAAATATAAACGTTTTGTGTATGTGTTGTGGTGTCCTAAACAGAGCTCTAAAGTGATAACGTTATAAAAATTAAAATTTGAAATTATTGGATTTGTCAGGATAGCCTGAAAGAACAACATCTAAGAGGCCTACTTGCCAAAAACTAACATTGTGGGGCAAATTGTCTCTGAGATATTAGCACAGTTATGTTCTGATGACTCCATGCAAATCCTTCTAAATTTGACTTGGGTCATAACGTTATGACCCGAGTCAAATTTATCTATTTGTAAATCCCATATCAGTGCGCATGTCCATTGACTATCCCATCTTTTAGTAATATGAAATAGAGAGTAAGGCTTTCTTGTGTGGGAGCCTTTCAGAACTCTTTTGCTTTGCTTTTAGACAACGGTCAGTTATTTCGGAACAATTCATTGTCTTTTTTTTTTAAGGGAAAACATGAATTTGATGCGGATGCAGACGAAGCTTTGCTTCTTGGAGAAGATTTTGATGAAGAGGATGAAGAAGAAGATGAACGATCGTGGAAAAGATAGTTACAACTATTGTTTAAGTTGATACGGCCAAACTGCGTCGAAGCATTGTAAAATAATTGTCATGATTTAACTATTTCAGACTTCTAACTACAGTAAAGTGAGCTTAGCTTTCTGTAGCATTGTAACATCAAGCGTTAACGTCAGTGGATTCCAATCGTCTTTGAAAGAGCAAGATTTCTTGTGTCCATTTCTTCTAAAACGCACTGTCATCGCTCTCCAAAGGCTAAGAGATGATACCCATCTCAATGTTTTATTGAAAAATACTTGTCTTTGACCTAGTTTAGGTTTTACTGTCTGTTGTATTAATTTTATAGTACTATAAGTTAAGTTGTAGTGAATACTTCTTTGCATTTTTGTGAAGGCCTGAGGATGCAAAAAAAATGAAAGTGATGCTTAAAAAAGATATCAGTGGAAAAGAAAAGCAGAAAAATATTGAAAGTAAAAAAATGACTTCAGATTCACAATAAAAAATACTTCACATTTGAAAAGATTAGAGAAAACAACAACAACAACAAACAAAAAACAAACCAAAAATCTTACAAAAGTCAATGACCAATTCTTGTCTATGGTCACATTGTGACTGCTGATTAAAAGAGCACTGGAAAAGTGCTTTTGCTGACTGCACGAAGAAAGTTGAAGGCGGAAGAAGTGGCAAGAAGCCAAGAAGAAGACACAAGATTTGAATGGAGTAGGATGAAGTGTTCTAGAAGCAGTAACAACGCTCAGGACAAGTGAGGTGAGTATACTGTATACTTTATACATGGTAATTTAATATCTGTTCCAAATCTCCAATCAATGTCTCACGTTCCTCAAGTAGACAGTTGACTCCCATATAAAGGAAACTAGACTTGTTTTAATTTTCAAACAACATTGCATAGAGTGAGGTGGAGAAATAGGAACACAGAAAACGAGCATGTACTATTAAAATACTAGACGCCACGTGGGCGTTCACGTACGTTTCGGTGACGACTATGTTTGTGGCCCTTTTCGTTGCCGCCGCCGCTCAGCATTTCAGGATTTTATATTTTGTTTGAGTGAACTATAGACATAACGTGAGCTTCCCTTGTAGCCCGGGCTAAATCTATATATTGTAATGATAATCCAAGACTATGATAAAAGATCGCCAGGTTTCTTTCTTTCTTGTTACAGTTACAGCTGAGAAACTGAACACAATTTTCTCGTGAAAATGTCTGATTTCGTCTCCATTTCATAAAACTTGCGTCCATTACGTTTTTTATATGCGAGTCCGCTTATACAAACACCCGGTTAATTACGGACTCTATTAGCCGGGCTCCACTGTATTGCGTTTATCTAGGGTGAATAGTATACAACTATCCCCCGAAGGGGAGGTGAATAGTCGTAGAAGGTATACATCTAGCGCTGTTCACCGACCCTGAGAGAATAGCTATTTTAGTATTTACCAAATTAGATGGATAAAAATGAAAAAAAGTAACTTTTTAAAATTAAAAACGTCACTTGGTAGGAGCTTTGTGCACAATTTACAACATGTCGGGGATTTTGTCAGGGACATTTTTACGATTTTGTTGCAAATTCAGCATGAAAATAATTTTCTACCTACCGGTAAACACTGACAATCCAAAGTTCGTCGCTTTCTTGGTATTTGTTTGTGCGACTTCTTCATTTTCACTCAAATTTCGTCTTTCGAACATGTCTCGAAACGAGACGCCATCTTAGCCAAGGATATTCTGCGTTACGAGAGCCAATCAAAACGCGCGAAAATTGCTTTTCCCTGATTTGGTAAATACTACCACCAAATATAGCCTTAAGTGTTTGAGTTATCCTTTAGCATCTTTTGTGTGATATACAAGAAGTTTATTTTAACATTTCCCAATAGGGGTTTTCAATGTCGATTTACACTCAGTTACAAAGAGCAGTAAAACCTGGCTAATTGAAAAACTACTAAAGCAAGTATTTAAAATACCGTTGCAATACTGCTTTTTATGCCGACTCGTTTCTGCGACCTCTCCAATATTGCGAATTCGAGGATAATAATATTAATCTAAAAATCAGCAAGTTTCAGAAAACGCTGTGACAAGAATAAACGTTGGTTGAGCGATCTTGGGGTCCGTTTCTCCAAGTCCCGATAACTTTTCGGGCCCGAAAACAAATATTCAAATCGAAATGAAAAGAATAAGAGCGCGGGTCCTGGCTAGCAAAATAATCCATTTTGTTTTATTAACTGATAGTTTTATTATGTTAGATGCAAAACTACTGAAACTTCTATCTTGCATGTAAACAACAGCTTTACGGGCCCGTTAATTATGGGGATTTTCAAGAAACGGTCCCCTGCAGGCCATGTACTGGCCATTTATTTGTTTAGCTGCTAATAGATATGATTTACCAAAATTTTGCGCTTAATACCTCCCGTTTATTTTATAACTTGTCATTATTTTCGTGTCCATTTTTCCGCCTAAATACTTTGCCAAAGAAAGAACGCCCTGGTGACAATTTTATCTGGACGGCACGTAATTCATTTAAGCTGCTCATCGTATCTCCGTGATCACCAAACAGATTAGTTCTCATGTCTAATGCTTTTTGCAAAGATTCCAATGCTCCTTTCAAGTCTCCCATTCCATGTTGCACAACACCAAGCCCATGGTAGCTGCTGGCAGTGTCTTTGTGACCACCAAGCAGATTCGATCTCATGTTTGCTGCTTTTTGTAAGGAGTCCAAAGCTCCTTCAAGGTCTCCCATATCACGCTGCATTAAACCGAGCTTGTGGTAGCTGGACGCCGTGTCTTCGTGATCACCAAGCAGATTTGATTCCATGTTTGCTGCTCTTTGTAAAGAATCCAGAGCACCTTTAAGGTCTCCCATGTCGCGCTGCACTTTACCGAGCCAATCGTAGCTGGACGCCGTGTCTTTGTGATCACCAAGAAGATTTGATCTTATGTTTGCTGCTCTTTGTAAAGAATCCAGAGCCCCTTTAAGGTCTCCCATGTCATGCTGCACTAAACCAAGCAAATAGAAGCTGTACGCCGTGTCTTCGTGATCACCAAGCAGATTTGATCTTATGTTTGCTGCTCTTTGTAAGGAATCCAGAGCCCCTTTAAGGTCTCCCATGTCGCGCTGCACTTTACCAAGCCAATAGCAGCTGGACGCCGTGTCTTTGTGATCACCAAGAAGATTTGATCTCATGTTAGCTGCTCTTTGAAAAGAATCCAGAGCCCCTTTAAGGTCTCCCATGTCGCGCTGCACTTTACCAAGCCAATAGCAGCTGGACGCCGTGTCTTTGTGATCACCAAGAAGATTTGATCTTATGTTTGCTGCTCTTTGTAAAGAATCCAGAGCCCCTTTAAGATCTCCCATGTCGCGCTGCACTTTACCAAGCCAATAGCAGCTGGACGCCGTGTCTTTGTGATCACCAAGAAGATTTGATCTTATGTTTGCTGCTCTTTGTAAAGAATCCAGAGCACCTTTAAGGTCTCCCATGTCGCGCTGCACTTTACCGAGCCAATCGTAGCTGGACGCCGTGTCTTTGTGATCACCAAGAAGATTTAATCTTATGTTTGCTGCTCTTTGTAAAGAATCCAGAGCCCCTTTAAGGTCTCCCATGTCATGCTGCACTAAACCAAGCGAATAGAAGCTGTACGCCGTGTCTTCGTGATCACCAAGCAGATTTGATCTTATGTTTGCTGCTCTTTGTAAAGAATCCAGAGCCCCTTTAAGGTCTCCCATGTCGCGCTGCACTTTACCAAGCCAATAGCAGCTGGACGCCGTGTCTTTGTGATCACCAAGAAGATTTGATCTCATGTTAGCTGCTCTTTGTAAAGAATCCAGAGCCCCTTTAAGGTCTCCCATGTCGCGCTGCACTTTACCAAGCCAATAGCAGCTGGACGCCGTGTCTTTGTGATCACCAAGAAGATTTGATCTTATGTTTGCTGCTCTTTGTAAAGAATCCAGAGCCCCTTTAAGGTCTCCCATGTCGCGCTGCACTTTACCAAGCCAATAGCAGCTGGACGCCGTGTCTTTGTGATCACCAAGAAGATTTGATCTCATGTTAGCTGCTCTTTGTAAAGAATCCAGAGCCCCTTTAAGGTCTCCCATGTCGCGCTGCACTTTACCAAGCCAATAGCAGCTGGACGCCGTGTCTTTGTGATCACCAAGAAGATTTGATCTTATGTTTGCTGCTCTTTGTAAAGAATCCAGAGCCCCTTTAAGGTCTCCCATGTCGCGCTGCACTTTACCAAGCCAATAGCAGCTGGACGCCGTGTCTTTGTGATCACCAAGAAGATTTGATCTTATGTTTGCTGCTCTTTGTAAAGAATCCAGAGCACCTTTAAGGTCTCCCATGTCGCGCTGCACTTTACCGAGCCAATCGTAGCTGGACGCCGTGTCTTTGTGATCACCAAGAAGATTTGATCTTATGTTTGCTGCTCTTTGTAAAGAATCCAGAGCCCCTTTAAGGTCTCCCATGTCATGCTGCACTAAACCAAGCGAATAGAAGCTGTACGCCGTGTCTTCCTGATCACCAAGCAGATTTGATCTTATGTTTGCTGCTCTTTGTAAAGAATCCAGAGCCCCTTTAAGGTCTCCCATGTCGCGCTGCACTTTACCAAGCCAATAGCAGCTGGACGCCGTGTCTTTGTGATCACCAAGAAGATTTGATCTCATGTTAGCTGCTCTTTGTAAAGAATCCAGAGCCCCTTTAAGGTCTCCCATGTCGCGCTGCACTTTACCAAGCCAATAGCAGCTGGACGCCGTGTCTTTGTGATCACCAAAAAGATTTGATCTTATGTTTGCTGCTCTTTGTAAAGAATCCAGAGCACCTTTAAGGTCTTCCATGTCGCGCTGCACTTTACCGAGCCAATCGTAGCTGGACGCCGTGTCTTTCTGATCACCAAGAAGATTTGATCTTATGTTTGCTGCTCTTTGTAAAGAATCCAGAGCCCCTTTAAGGTCTCCCATGTCATGCTGCACTAAACCAAGCGAATAGAAGCTGTACGCCGTGTCTTCGTGATCACCAAGCAGATTTGATTTCATGTTTGCTGCTCTTTGTAAAGAATCCAGAGCACCTTTAAGGTCTCCCATATCGCGCTGCACTTTACCAAGCCAATCGTAGGTAGACGCCGTGTCTTTGTGATCACCAAGAAGATTTGATCTTATGTTTGCTCCTCTTTGTAAAGAGTCCAGAGCCCCTTTAAGGTCTCCCATGTCATGCTGCACTAAACCAAGCCAACAGTAGCTGGACGCCGTGTCTTCGTGATCACCAAGAAGATTTGATCTTATGTCTGTTGCTCTTTGTAAAGAGTCCAAAGCTCCTTTAAGGTCTCCAATGTCATGCTGCACTAAACCAAGCGAATAGAAGATGTACGCCGTGTCTTCGTGATCACCAAGCAGATTTGATCCCATGTTTGCTGCTCTTTGTAAAGAATCCAGAGCATTTTTAAGGTCTCCCATGTCGCGCTGCACTAAACCAAGCCAACAGTAGCTGGACGCCGTGTCTTTGTGATCACCAAGAAGATTTGAACTCATGTTTGCTGCTCTTTGTAAAGAATCCAGAGCCCCTTTAAGATCTCCTATGTCATGCTGCACTAAACCAAGCGAATAGAAGCTGTACGCCGTGTCTTCGTGATCACCAAGCAGATTTGATCTTATGTTTGCTGCTCTTTGTAAAGAATCCAGAGCCCCTTTAAGGTCTCCCATGTCGTGCTGCACTTTACCAAGCCAATAGCAGCTGGACGCCGTGTCTTTGTGATCACCAAGAAGATTTGATCTCATGTTTGCTGCTCTTTGTAAAGAATCCAGAGCCCCTTTAAGGTCTCCCATGTCGCGCTGCACTTTACCAAGCCAATAGCAGCTGGACGCCGTGTCTTTGTGATCACCAATAAGATTTGATCTTATGTTTGCTGCTCTTTGTAAAGAATCCAGAGCCCCTTTAAGGTCTCCCATGTCGCGCTGCACTTTACCAAGCCAATAGCAGCTGGACGCCGTGTCTTTGTGATCACCAAGAAGATTTGATCTTATATTTGCTGCTCTTTGGAAAGAATCCAGAGCCCCTTTAAGGTCTCCCATGTCGCGCTGCACTTTACCAAGCCAATAGCAGCTGGACGCCGTGTCTTTGTGATCACCAAGAAGATTTGATCTCATATTTGCTGCTCTTTGGAAAGAATCCAGAGCCCCTTTAAGGTCTCCCATGTCGCGCTGCACAAAACCAAGCCAACAGTAGCTGGACGCCGTGTCTTTGTGATCACCAAGAAGATTTGATCTTATATTTGCTGCTCTTTGTAAAGAATCCAGAGCCCCTTTAAGGTCTCCCATGTCATGCTGCACTAAACCAAGCGAATAGAAGCTGTACGCCGTGTCTTCGTGATCACCAAGCAGATTTGATCTTATGTTTGCTGCTCTTTGTAAAGAATCCAGAGCATTTTTAAGGTCTCCCATGTCGCGCTGCACTTTACCAAGCCAATAGCAGCTGGACGCCGTGTCTTTGTGATCACCAAGAAGATTTGATATTATGTTTGCTGCTCTTTGTAAAGAATCCAGAGCCCCTTTAAGGTCTCCCATGTCGCGCTGGACAAAACCAAGGCAATAGCAGCTGGACGCCGTGTCTTTGTGATCACCAAGAAGATTTGATCTCATGTTTGCTGCTCTTTGAAAAGAATCTAAAGCTCCCTCACAGTGCCCTATCTCTTTCTGCACCACACCAAGGCTGTGGTAGCTGCGTGCCGTTTCTTTGTGATCTCCACGCAAAGATAAATTTATGTCTGCTGCTTTCTGGAATGCTTCAACAGCCGACTTGTTGTCATTCATTGCATAATGGATAATGCCTTGCTCATGAAAGTCGTCGGCTGTATCAGGATGATCTCCTAACAGTTGTTTTCTTAATCGTACGCTCAACTGTACCGACTCCAGTGCTGTTGTCAGGTCTCCCGCTTCACGCTGCACTCTACCAAGCCAGAAGTAGCTTTTAGCAGTATCTGGCTGATACCACTCACTAAGAGGAAATTCTTTGGCAGAGAGTAACATTTTTTGGTCGCAGACATTTTCCCTAGTTTTTGCTTCTTCTATTGCTATGTCATAAAGGCGCTCAAATAACTTTTTTTCACCATGCAGTGCAACATAGAGAAATGATTTTGCTTCAGATAACAAGTCTACAGCCTTGGTGTAGGTAATGTCATTTCCAGGTCCATTAGAAAGGGATGAAATGATGCACTCACGCCGATCAAGGAAATTTCTGAAGGCCTTTGAATAACTTCCTGTTAGGAAGTTTTTGTTAGCAATTTCACACCTAGAAATGTAATGGTCATAAAACTGAACCTGTGCATCTATAAATACAGCTTCAACCGCTTCGTCATTCTTTACTTTATCCTTAATAAAGGACCGTAAAAGTGAATGGAGTGTAAAACGGCTAAAACTGTGTCCACAATGTATAAGGGACTTTCTCTCCAGTGATCGAATGATTTGCTTGGTTTTAACCTCTGATTTTACATTTAATATGGCTTGAGCTTCCTCTATTCCAAACCACCCAGGGAAAACAGAAAGCGAAACAAATGCGTTTCGTTCGGGAATCATGAGCCTTTTAAAAGATGTGTCAATTACAGATTTAAGCCGGAAATCGTCAGGAAAGCTTTCACTGTTCAAAACTTCGACTATCGTTGAATCGCTTAGTTCTTCTAAAAGCGCATTTATGGATATATTTGCTTCGTCAATGATGCTGCACATTAGTCGCATGGACAAAGGAACGTTTCCACATTCCCTCACGACACATTTGCAGTCATCTTCCAAGGCATCTGGTAACAACAGCCTTACCAGATGCGCTGACGAAATTCCATCCAATACGTTAATTTTCTCCAAGTGGATGGAAAGCTTGTGGCTTAAGTAGTCGAGACTTTCACGAGTAGTTAGGAGAAGCTTGATTTCTTTGCAGTGAGTAATGATTTCCTCAATAAATCGAAGCACGTGCTGTTTCCGTTTGGCATCCTCAGATTCGAGTAAATCATCGGCATTGTCTAGCATTAAGACAAAAGGATTTCGAATTTGCTGTAAACATTGAATGACGAGGTCAGACGATGAAATGCGGCTCACCTGTTTATCGTCTACGAAGATACTTAGCAATTTCGACACTAAATCCTCCATACTTTTCATTCCACGAACGGATGCAAAGTAAACTGGAAAATTCTTCTCTTGTAAGTGATGCGCCACACTGATGGCCACTGATGTTTTTCCAAATCCAGGAGGACCCCAGACATTGACCAGTCGAGTAACTTCATCTGTTAAATGATGTTCTACTGCTTTGCATTCTTTGTCGCGGCCAACAAAGTTTGGTAATTCATCAGGTATGGACGAGTCGGGCACAAATAAATCTGAAGAGACAACGCAAACAAATTACATTGCAGGGAATAATGATAACTTTGTAGTTGTAATTAAAAATAATATTAAAAAGACTGAGATATAACGACCGCACCAGGCTAGGGTAAACGTTCAATCGACTACAGCTGTAGATCCTTTAATCCCGGCGTAGCTAATCGAACGAAACCGAACCAAAAACCAATCGAACCCAATCGTTCGTGGGGGAGAAATGAATGCGTGACAAACGAACCCCAAAGGACGTCTGCGGGGAGGCTAGGCTGTAGGCAGAAAAATTCTCGATCGAGCTTCAAAGGGTGTGTTCCTTTCGGTGAATCCAAAAACGGATTTTAGATCTAAGAACGGATTTCGCGTTCCTTTCGGCAAATCCAAATCCGGATTTTTGAGCTGGTGAATCCTTTTTGAAAAAGGATTCATTGGATTTGAAATCCGAAGAATCCAAATCCAGATTAACGGATTAGTGATCTACACTGTTCCATTCACAGTGGATCCGAAATTAGTCAGATGATCCAGCGGTATTTCCAGTTGAAGTATTCCCATAGAGGCGGAGGCCGTAGAGTTTCCTCGTTGCTGTCATTTGCCGCAAAACATCTGAAAACATTAGAAGATTGTTCCTGGTACATTAAAATATCCATATACTTACCATTAGTCTCAAAAGATTGCTTGAAATCAGAAATAAGTAAAAGTAACAAATGAACTGCTATCTAACTACAAACTCGCTTGTAGACGCGACAGGCACTCGATCGTGTTACATAAAAAAATCCGAGCTATGGAACTGGATTAAACTGGCCGACATTCTTTAGATAAATTTCAATTTTAATGGGCTTCTTTCTTTGTCTGTTTTATATGTTGCATCGTCGCTATTCGAACTGCCGACCACTAAATTCTGCACGGTATGATCGCATAATTTGTCAAACAGTAGAAAACACGTCATTTTTTGAGAGGCTGTCGTGCGTATTGCACGCGTTGGCGAAAGGTTACCAAGGTAACAAATCCAATTTCGGATTTCACGTTCCTTTCGACCGCGAAATCTGGTAAATCTAGGATCAAAAATCCGTTTTTGGATTCGCCGAAAGGAACACACCCAAAAAGTGTAACCTCATGTAATGTAGATTCCCCTGAGACCAAGTGGTGTGACAGTTTCAGCCAATCAAAAGGCGGTAAACTATACTTGGCGCACATGTGTTCTTTTCTCGGCGGCAAGCGAAGATTGAACTTGAATGTGGTACGCTTTTATTGTTTATTCACCTAAATCTGGCCCCGGCAGTCAAGGAAAATGAAAACTTGATACATTGTATTAATTTGGGGGCTATTAATGTAAGGTTTTAACGAAGAGAAGCTTGTAAAACAACAGTTTAATCAAAGAAAAGTTTTCCATGTGAAACAAGCAATTCTCACCACTAAGAAGGATCAGATTACACGAGGAGATAAGGAAAGCTTGATAAGAAGAATAAAGTCGCTTCTGTTGGAAAATCAGATCTTGGGGAAAAAATCTAACCAGTAAATGGAAAAATAAGAATGAAAAGGAATTACAAGCCTAAAGCGAACGACAAAGGATAAGAAAACAACGCTATTTTTTTCGAAACCTGGCCGAGTTTATAATAAAGCGAAAACAAAATACCGACGTGCCGCACATCGCATGTCCTTGAAAACATATCAAGCAGCGTAGCGAATCATTCTAAAATTCAATCGGGAACTCGACAAAAAGCCTGGGGAAATTTCAGAGGAGGTTTCAATGATTAAACTGCGCAAATATTTTTCTACAAAGTGAAACCGAACCGACCCTAATTTTGTAGTGGTAAGAGAAACGATATTTTTTATATTTCCCTCTAAATATTACCGATCGCTTTCTCTGCAAGCTGTTTTATTCTTTCAAAAAAGTATGCCTCATGACACCTCAAACTTTTATACAGCAGGTTCGTAACGCCACAGGAGTCTGAGGACTGACTCTTCTCCGAACCTTTATACTTGCATAGCACCTCTGTTTCAAGAAAATAATCCTTTTAACAGGAAGGGACCAAGAAACTGTCAATTGTTGGAAAAAAGGAATCCATTCCTATCCAAAATACGCATGATTTGCTCGTTGGCACTCTATCGATAGGTATACCTAGTTATAAAAATATAAGTAGGAATTCGTTTTGGGAACCTTCACATACGTAACTAGCAAGGCGGTTATCAGGGGGACCCAACGTCAATTTTCGGAAAATATCTGTTCGAAAGACGATTTGAGATCTAGAATTTTCGGAACATTTGTTGTAAATTTTCTTGCTTGCCTGCCTCTCCTACGATTTTCGAAAATCTAAAAAATGGTATAATTGCCCATTTTAAACAGATTTTTACCGTAAAAAGGTCATCTAGAATTTTCGGAAGCCTTTCTTCTGGCTGAAATTTTCGAAAAGGTAAGTTTTGATCCCTTTGATTTTAGGATCACGACTTTCAGCTAGGAAATCCGAACAGATGAAAAATGTTTAGGGGATAACAATATGCCTATATCTACCGTTTAAATACTAAAATACGTTCAACAATGTTATGTTTAGGTGGTTTTGAACTATATTCTCGTTGGGTGCCCCCGAGTTATCCTAACCAAGCAAGATGAATACCAGTATGAAAGACGGATCAGCCAGTGTTTTGCAAGGAAACCAAGTGAACGCTTTACATACCTTTTTTGATTACGGACTGAACTGCTTGTTTTACGTCATCGACGTTTGCTTTTATTTTTGCTAGCTCACTTGTTGCAATTTTCACCTCTGATTCGACATTTTCCAGTTTTGTCTGGACTTCTGCTGCTGCCGTTTTCACTTCTTCTACTTTCGTCTGTACATCTGTTACTGTCGTTTGTACGTCTGACGTGACTTCTTCCACTTTTGTCTGTACATCCGTTACTGATGTTTTGACGTCTGACCTGACTTCTTCCACTTTTGTCTGCACATCTGTTACTGATGTTTTTATGTCTGATCTGACTTCTTCCACTTTTGTCTGCACATCTGTTACTGCTGTTTTGACGTCTGACCTGACTTCTTCCACTTTTGTCTGCACATCTGTTACTGATGTTTTTATGTCTGATCTGACTTCTTTCACTTTTGTCTGCACATCTGTTACTGCTGTTTTGACGTCTGACCTGACTTCTTCCACTTTTGTCTGCACATCTGTTACTGATGTTTTTATGTCTGATCTGACTTCTTCCACTTTTGTCTGCACATCTGTTACTGCTGTTTTGACGTCTGACCTGACTTCTTCCACTTTTGTCTGCACATCTGTTACTGATGTTTTTATGTCTGATCTGACTTCTTCCACTTTTGTCTGCACATCTGTTACTGCTGTTTTGACGTCTGACCTGACTTCTTCCACTTTTGTCTGCACATCTGTTACTGCTGTTTTGACGTCTGACCTGACTTCTTCCACTTTTGTCTGCACATCTGTTACTGCTGTTTTGACGTCTGACCTGACTTCTTCCACTTTTGTCTGCACATCTGTTACTGCTGTTTTGACGTCTGACCTGACTTCTTCCACTTTTGTCTGCACATCTGTTACTGCTGTTTTGACGTCTGACCTGACTTCTTCCACTTTTGTCTGCACATCTGTTACTGATGTTTTTATGTCTGATCTGACTTCTTCCACTTTCGTTTGTACGTCTGTTACTGCTGTTTTGACGTCTGACCTGAATTCTTTCACTTTTGTCTGCACATCTGTTACTGATGTTTTTACATCTGATCGGACGGTTTTAATTTGACTCTCGATTTGGTTGAGGTGATCATTGATTTGCTTAAACTTGACGTCAACATCTTTTTCTTTCTTCAACTCTTCTTCTAACTTCTGAAGCCTGGCAGTAGGAAAGTCTTCTTCTTCAAGCTTCCCGATCTCATCAATCCTGGTTGTGTCTTGTTTAAGTGCAGCTAACGCCTCTCTAGCTAATTTTATATAATAATCAAAAGTTGTCTTGTCAATCTTTTGGGTACTTGTCTGGTGACACAGTGCGTTTCTTAGGAGACGAAGCTGATCTAACGCTAACGCAAACGTCTCGGCTTCGTTTCCAGGAATTGAAATAACAGGGTGAAATGTTCCACTTAGTAAGTGACGGGGCTTCACGTACAATTTGTTCAAAGTTGAAAGCCCTCCACTTCCGTCCGGAATGGCAAAGCTCTGAGCATAGAGAGTGACTTCAAACAGCGCTGTGCAGTCCCACTCATGATATGATTTAGCGGTTGGAACATATTTTGTCTTTCCAGCCTCTTTACTGAGAAACATGTTGCGAACCAGAGGTGAGTCGTCCCATTTTTGAAAGCCTGGCGTAGGAGCGACTTGATTGTCCCACATGTGAACAAAAACTTGGCGGAGGGCGATTGGAAATTCATCAAGTACGACAGATGAAAACTTAAAAAAGTTCAGTTGCTCCAACGAAAATGTAGCCATTGCGAGGATAATAACCTTTTAAAAATACAGTATCGTACGGTATGTTAGAAAGTAGGATACCAAACTGTCGTCGAACAATCAACCATTGTAAAGGGAGATAATCTGCAAAGATAAAGACAATAATATAAAAAACTTTGAAATGTACGAAAAGTAATTTCATATATAAATGTGTTTTTTAGCGAAAGTTAACATAGATCAGTTTATCGCAATCTTTCATAACAAGTACTGAATACAGAGATTGGATTCTTACGCATAATTCACCCAACATTAGCCTTGATCCCCTGGTGAGGGATCCCAGGCAAGGAAGGGGACAAAAACACACAGACACAGAGTAAATCCCCTCTCCCAAGCGTTAGAATACTTAACCAAGCTCACCTCACTTGTAAAAAAAGCTTTAATTACCGATGCCTTGAAAGACACTTGTCTTTGAACTAGTTTAGGCTTAACTGTCTGTTTTTTTAATTTTATAGTATTGTAAGTAAAGTTGTAATGAATGTTTCTATTGTTGAGAAGTCAAAAAATGAAAATAATGCTCAAAAGGATTATCGTGGATAATTGTGCGTACCTCTGGAAAAATGTTTCACATTTGAAAAAATTAAAGAAAACAACCACAACAAAAACAAACCAAAAATTGTACAAAACTCAATGACCAATTCTTGTCCACAGTCACATGATGACTGAAGATTTATGGCGCTGTGGTTGACTAAAGGAAAAACGTTTAAGAAAGACCAAGTGGAAAGAGTAGGGAAACATGAGAAGCCGGAATAGGAGACAAGAGATTTGAATGGAGTACGACGAAGTGTTCTAGAAGCAATAACACTGAGCGCTCAGAGCAGGTGGAATGAATACTGTATCCTTTATAAATGGCGATTCATTCTCCAATCAATTTCACAATTCGTGAAAACATTGTCCGTCGTGTTTCTCCAGTGCAAAGTTGACTCCCTAGGGGCACCCAACGACGGCTTCCTCATAAATGCATTGAAAAAACTTTTTAGGCTATTCAGAGTACTTTTAGACCTTTAAAAATACATTCTAATCGGCGCTATAAAAATTATATCTGTTCGGTCATCCTAGGGCAACTTGAGTCTTTTCGAAATTACCAGGGATTCAGTATTATTTTCCCGAAAATTTAAGATGGAATTTAAAGTTTTACGAAAGTGAGAATTTTTCAGATCCCTCTTTCCATCGCTTTTCGAATCCGAAAATTTTAGCTTTCCTTTTTCTGCGAAAAATAGCTTAATCTGGGGGAGAAAAATGCGAAAAATTAGACTTGAGAAAATCGTTGGGAATATAATAGATCGTTTTCACTGTCACGCAACAAAATAATAAATTGGAAACCGTCCCGTGGAAGAAGCCAAGAAAGTGAAATGTTATAAAAGACTAATTTTTAAACAATTTGTCCAAGTCTCAGGTCTTTTTGGCCAACAGTTTCTGAGTTATTTGCCGAAACGTTTCACGCACCTTTGTAGAGCTTTGTATGGAGACGCCATAAATATGGCCGCCGGAAATCAACAAAAACATCTGGTGTTTACTTTTTCTATAAAAGCTCTTTATTTTCACTCGAGAACTAGCATACGTGCACATAAACATATCTTCTAATACTTGAAATGGCTATACTGCTGAAAATCAAGATTGCTGTATTTTCGAAATGAAACATGCTACGGGAATGGAAACTTGTACAAAGACTTACTTTTTGTTTATCTTTAACCTAGTGTAAATATGAATTCGTTAAACCTCGCTATTTTGACTTTACAATTTGATGACGTCACTGTGAAAACCATCTATAGATAAGCTTGGAAAATTGTACATGAACGGAACGGTCATCTAGAAATTCTTAGCCATCCCCAAGGTATAGAAAATTCTAGGCAGTTTTTGCTTCTCCGAACAGACATTTTACAGAAAGCTGTCGTTAGTTGCCCCTGTCCCTTGCACGAGAAAATAAGACTTGTTTTTAATTGTCAAGGAACATTAATTGCATGGGATGGAGATCATGGAGAAAAGATACAAGGCGCCACGTAGGAGTTCGCTTGTGTTTTCGCGACGTCTCTTTTTTCATGGGGCAGTTTTCGAAGAGAGAAGGTTCCCTTCTTCCCCCGCGACCGTCCTACCGGTCTTCGCTGAGTGAGATTGAGGCTTACACGCATGCAAATAACGGAACGCTTTAAGCCTGTCTCTCTTGACTTTGGTTTTGCATATGGTGACATATTTAACCAAGGTAAACCCGTCAGCTGAAGCTGTTACAAATGGGTGCCCTGGGCAACTAAAAAATTAACAATTAAAGGAAAAATAACCATAACAGAACAACTATCAGAAAAATGTAAAAACTGATGTACAATGTCGATGGATAAAAACTAAGAATTATATACCTACGTAAATTGAGATGCCAAAAAAACTCCAAAATATTTACAAGAACTCTAAAAAATAATATCATTAAGAAGTGTTTTAAAAATCACTATGGAGTCAACTTCCTTCAGGTGGGGTGGCAAATCATTAAAAGCCTGGGCTCCAGTATAAAACTAAGCTGTTCCGTGTATAGATGGTTTTCACAGTGACGTCATCAAATTGTAAAGTCAAAATAGCGAGGTTTTACGAATTCTTATTTACACTAGGTTGAAGATAAACAAAAAGTTAATCTTTGTACAAGTTTTCAGTCCCATAGCGTGTTTCATTTCGAAAATACAGCAATTTGAACTTCCGAGTTTTCACAGTGCGTGACACCAAAATAGGAATGCTGTCTCCTTGAAAAAAAAGTCTCTCCTCTTGATTTTCAGCAGTTTAACCATTTCAAGTATTAGAAGATATGTTTATGCGCACGTAGGCTAGTTCTCGAATGAAAAGAAGGAGCTTTTATAGAACAAGTGAACTCCAGATGTTTTTGTTGATCTGTGCACCAATATGGCGTCTCCATACAAAGCTCTACAAAGATGCGTGAAACGTTTCGGCAAACAGAAACTGTGGGCCAAAAAGACCTGAGACTTGGACAAATTGTTTAAATATTAGTCTTTTATAACATGTCATTTTCTTGGCTTCTTTCACTGGACGGTTTTTTTTAATTTTTTTGTTGCGTGACAGTGAAAACGATCTATAAACAAAGATTTACATACAGTAGACCCTCGATAACTCGAACTCGGACAACTAGTGCTCGTCGAGAACTCGAACTAAATTTCCTTTCGTTGATCAAAATTTCACTGAAATTTTCCCCGATAACTCGAATTCCCCGCTAACTCGAACTGTTTTTCGTTTCCCTGTAGAGTTCGAGTTACTTGGTTCTACCGTACGTACGTACAAAGCAAAATTTACGCAAAAATGCATAAATTAGTAGGTGACGTCACCAGACGGCATAAAACGCTCGGAATTCGAACGTCTCTCTTCCCCGCGACCCCAACCAGTTGGGAAGTAGAGACGTATGACATTTCAGACTACCAAATAACTCGCATGAAGACATGCAGCCGATGAAGTAATTGACCTCTGTTATTTGAAACGAATCGTCTGTAAAGAGTCATATATGAGATATTCTACTTAGTAAATGTCTTCAAAAAGAGGCGCAACGGTGTATAGACCTTTACTTCGCGGCCAATCGACTAACAAGCTACAATCTTTCCCCTTGAAATCGTCAATCGAGGTTACACCCCTTACAATTTACCTTTCGTGCCTCCTTTCTACAACATGTGAGCTGAAAGGACTATGGTCGACAGGTGAATCACACATAGCCTCTACCTTTCGAAAGTGAAAGCAAATTTTCTTTGTATCATCACAAATGTTCACATTGCAAAGTGTTAAGCAATCGGTATAAATAAGTAATTGGCCAATTGCAAAGCGAGAGAGAAACTTTGCCGATCAGAAACGGAGAAAAAGATCCCTACAAAACTGCGGGATATCAGATCAAGGAACGGGCAGTTTATGGACTCACCCCTCAACTTCCGCTTTGATTTTTACATTCAAGTTATTCACTGGGAATTTCTAATCACGTTAAGATAAGATTCCTACTGAAAAGCTGTAGCAAAAGTAGTAAACAATTAAATGAAGAACTATTTCTTAACCTAACCATAAAACAGAAGGTCTTGCTTTCTAGGGCGACTTCCGTAACTACTCGGACAGCACTCGCGTGATCAAGGGTTCGTTATTGCGTCTATTTACATGTTAGAAATGAGTTAAAGATAAAATGCACAGAGCAGTGTATAACATACCAGTGTGTTAAGTCAAGACCAGTGAGGTTTCCGTTAATGGTTTCGTTTGTTGGGCGCGATTAGCTTGTACTCCGAGTAAGTGTTGATCGACCAGAACATAACAACTGCAAGAGAATCTCAGTAACATAATGCAAGTGGCACGCCGGGAAAACCGCGGCAAAACGCACTGCGCATGAGCACAAAATTTGACATCCGGTCAGCTTTTTATTTCCGGTCTAGTAAATAAACCAATTGCGTAAGCATAACATTGTTTAAAAGCAAAAAGGGAGAAACAGACAAAACAGGGGGCGAAAAAAATCACTTCATTCGAAAGCTTATATATTTTTCTAGCGTCAAACTTTTGCACCACATGGTTATCTGTTTGCACCAACGGTGAAAATGATGTTTGAAGTTTGCAGGTCGTGAGCGCTCGACAAGACGAATTTATTTTTACTGGCTTTCTTGAATGCTACTGGTTTGGCATAAGTTGATTTGGGAGAAGGCGACAACTAAGAAAAGAATAACAATACTTATGAAAGAAACCAAAATAAAGACGTCATCGTTATCATTGACACTAAAACAAGGAAATTAAATTTTAGTCCGTTTAATAATTTTTTTATTATCAGAGAAAACAAGAACTCAAAACAAGCTAAAACAAGAGATGGGCGGGAATACAACAACTTCGACTTTGATGACTGCAGTCACGAACACCCGGAGTTTTCAGTGCCGGGAAACTAAACATGCTTATAAATGACTTTCATTCAAGAAAATGCCTATTTAATTCTTTTACATGGTTGTTCTTTGGTTGAAGACTTCAATAATTTCAGACTGTGCGGCTCGGCTGCATCTCATGCAAACACGAAACTTCCAGCTGCTAAATACATGGCATGAAAATTTCGACTTCTAAAAGCCATGGAACCAGCTTTCGCTCTCTGATTCTGAGAATGACAAAAATAAATAGAGTTGTCAACTTGCTGCCAACCTCAACAGTATAATTAAGCTTTGAAGCTTATGTTTCATGGCAATCAACTCAGAAGAGTTTCGTTTCAAAACACGGTAAAACTCACTGGTAAATAAAACTACAAAGCGATTGTGTGTTGTCGTTTTCCAAATAAAGCTCGAATCGACATGAAGACTGAGAAACTGAAGAACTGAAAATTAGAACTACAATACACAAGCTTGCAATGATAACTTTTTATGTCTTAGTTTCAGCCGGGTTAAGTGAAAAATAACAGTCAAAAACTTTGTTTTCGTGAGTGAAAATCAGTTTACCTAACGCGCTAGCCAAAATTACACATCTTACCTTTTCTAAATCTAATCGACTAATTGTTTCAGTGATCTGTGCCTGGTTATCCATAAAAGCAATTTCAATAACTACAAAATAGTCAAAAACACGAGCAGCATGAAGCAGAACAACTGAACCACACGCTGCACACAGAATGAAGCCGCGAGCGCGCGGGAGACTTTGAGCTGACTGGAAAGTGTGACTGAAAAAGGGACCGGAAATGCTCCACCTGGCGCATGCGTAGACGTTTTGCCGCGGTGTTCACGCCGGGTATCAGGTTGCGAGTACTAGTCCCCGTGCGGCCGCAAAAGGCTCAATCCTCTAGCGTGATCTCTAAAGGCCTAGTTAAAAGGTACGATTTTTGCTTACGACGTTCGTGCGCGGCTAGCATACGTCAACCATCCACAAGCGCACAATTTTCACTTACGACATCCACACGTGTCGTACGGATGTCTTGGGTCTAATTTACACGACACGATCTGACGTGAAGTCATGACGTAGGCTAGTCACGGACGATAGTCGTAAGCAAACATCGTACCGTCTAAATCGGCCTTAATAAAGGTTTTCGTGCTAATCTTACCTTCCTTCAAACTCTCCTTCGACTACTTCTGCCTTGCCCCTTAGACACCTAAAAACTTTATCCATCAATATGTTTTTCTAACTCATGCCTCCTCTTCTGTTGATGTTCCTGTCATTTACCAGTGTGATAAGTCCCAAGAGGTTCACTGTGGAGGCATTTCCCTAGCTATTGTAGGCATCCAATCATGAATGAAGAGTTCTGGATGAGAGGACAACAGACGTGCCCTCTTACAATATATTTTTAACGTTTGAACAGTAAGCTCGGACGTCAGCATACAAAGGCGCCACTGGCAGCCGCTCTCAGTCCATTTGTGAGCTTACTGTACCCACCCAACCCATGATGTGAATGATGTGCTGAGTGAAGGTTGACCACAACACCGGGGCCTACGTCCCCTACTCTTTTCGAACAGTAGTGTGGGTTTTTTTAAGTCCCACAAGAACAAGATAAGCGTAAGTGCTCTGAGACGGGACCTACGGTTTTTCGTCCTTATCCGAGAAGACTGGAAATTCTAACAGTTTGCAGATGTCATTAGAAAGGCAGCACTTTCTTCTCAATTATTCAAAGACTCTGAGTGTTGGTCCGGCCGAGGTTTGAAACCGTGACCTCCCGCTCAGCAGACCGGCGCTCTCCCAGCTGAGCCAACAAGGCGGCCTATTCTCTTAGTCAGGTCCCCACCCTCCTAACTCACTCTGCTGGGGCCGGTGCAAAGGTGCTCCACGTCCGCATTTTGCTTCCTCAAGGCATACCTATCACGGTGTTAGCCTATCCCCGCCTTCCATACTCTTAACGCCCGACACGCAAGTCACTATCGCGTAAGTGAGTCAAGCATTCAGAAGGTGAAAAATGACGCAAGACTCCAACTTCGTTTCCACTGGGAAAAACGTCGGGAACTCCAGTCTTCGAAAGAATTGACGGAAAATTATGACCCCCTCCTCTCTCTTGGCCTTCGCGTGCTTTAACAACCACAAAAATAGTCTTTATTTCCCTTATTGAGTTTTACAAGAGTGCACTGTGCTGGCCCGCAGGTAACCAGAGCTTATCTTGGCGGGCCAGTCAATTTACGTGTAGGAAATATTGAATTTTTATTCTCTCATCCTGGACTTCGGAGGGATGGGATCAAGACATCGAGATCCCACCCCCTCAATTCAAGACAGGAGAATGGTGTGTTGAGGCCTTCGTGGGCTTCATCCTTGATTTTAGAGAGAAGAGGTTTTTCAATTTGATTCTTTCCGAGTTTGAAGGTCAACGAAAATGAAGATGTTTATGATTTGGATAAGCACAGCACAGAACAAACATTTCCCAATAAACACGAAGTTCATGCTGGGATTTTGTTTTAAATCGCGGTATTGTATAACATCCACAAACAAGCCATATTTGGGCTTTAGCCTCTCTCCCATGTGGAGGTTCTTTGATCAGGCGTTATCTGTAGCTTTCATGTTCCCCACAATGCTATTTGTTTTCGCCACAAGATTTTGCATAAGCTGATTTATTACAAGACAGATTTAAACGTGGGTGGCAAAACGCTCAACATCGCTATTCAACTCGTTTTGCAGCAATGCTTCGAAACAAGTTGCACATTTTTGTTGCCCGTTTTACCGAAGCTTAACCTATGTAAATTTTCTATTTAGTGAAAATAATGTAAGATTTTATTCATCGGCAGTAAAGGGTTTTTGAAAAGCGTGTTGGCCCGTTCATAGACCCGACAGCTATGCCACGCTGATGAGCCCCAATAAGGGTGAAACAGCTGTCCATGGCTGCCTCTGCCCGGGTAATGTGGCAGTGCATATGCGTGAGGTACTGGCCAGGCCGTGGGTTGGTGTATGTATGCCCTTTGCTTTAAACTTGTCTTATTATGTTATGTGTATGATAGGGCTTGTTTATCGTACTTTTCATTTAGCGTTTTCCAGCGTTCTGTAAATTTTCTGGGAATAGTCCATTTAACTACCA